TTCCTGTGAGTAGATCATCCTTTGAGGCATCGAGAACCGAATTGGGTGATCGAGAACACCTCCGGTACTCCCTCTTTGGGTCCTCCTGGCCTGCTGGTAACGGAAGAGCCCCCAAAGGGCGAGCCCAAGGGGTGCCCCTCTCTCCTCCTCTCCCCAAATCAAGGCTTTTGCATCGCGGCGCGCCGGGTGTGGTTCTTGCCATGTTTGGGCTGTTGCGATCTGGGTGATCCTCTTACCTCAATTTCTTTCTCTCTTTCTCCTCCGTCTCTCTCTCTCTCTCTCTCTGTGTGTATGTGTCTTCTTTCCCCCCTCTTCATCCACCTCCTCCTGCAGTTTCTTAGCCAGGCTGGGCTGTTCTTCCTGCGTGGATTATTTCACGGCGCAAGGCCTGACCACCGTCTATCAGATTGAACACTACTCCATCGATGTAAGTAACGGTCTCACCCTTTCCCTTCCCGGGGGAGAGGGGCTTTTCTGCCTTGGCACCCGAGGAGGGTCTAGAGTGGCGTTGCGCCCCCATGCTCCGAGGTGAAGCTTGGAGCCATGTCTTTTGGAGCAGGGTTACAACTCCCATCATCCTTGCAGGCAGAAGAAGCATTGGGATTTTGGGAGTCACAGCTTCACCGGTGCCGGCTGGTAGTTCCTGTTTCAGGGTGGCTCCAGAACCACTCCGGCTTTTAGTCTGCACTTCACAGGAGCGCCCCCCCCACTCCAAGAGTGCTCAACACAGCCCCCAACAAAGTGTTGCACCTCAGATAGCTTCTGTAAAATGCAGACTGAAACCCAGCACGGATTCACAGCACCTTCTGAACTGAACTTACCAGCTGCCACTAGAGTCCAAAAAAGGAAACATTTCCAGATTCTGTCCAGTTTTAGGTTCAGACTTGCCCAGGGCAGCTCTGTGTGGCATCACTCATCACTCCCCCCCCAGCCCCTTCGCCTAGTCCAAGAACACCAGGGTGCCCCAAGGTTGGGAAGCAGGGCTGTCATCTGTGTGAGGCCCCTTTGTACCTGGGACGTCGCTGAAGCCCACCGTCGCCCTGCCCTGCCCTGCCCTGCGGGTTTTGGCTCTTGAGGCTTCGGACATGTCTTGTGTGGGGACGCCAGCTGCATCCCGGGTTGGCTTCCAGTCTGCTTTGGTCCTCCCCTCGCTTTTCTACCCTGTGCCCTTCCCCTGAAGGCCTCTTTCTCTGCGGGGGAACTATGCTATGGGGCTGCTGCTGTGTGGGGCTTCGCTTCTGGAGCCGGTGGTTTTACAGCCTGAGCATTCCACCTCTAGTTTTCTGGCTGATCTTGGCTTCTTGAGGTTCTTTCGCTTTGGAAGCTAACCATGGCCAGGCAGCACCCAAGGAAGAGGAGCAGACCCACCCCTTGACCCCACCACCTATACCCTCCGACCCCTTTGGCCAGTCCCGTTGGGACCTGGGTGGCTGCAGCGGCTGCTGTCTTGTCCTGGTGGCTCAGCCCGGTCTCCTCCTCCTCCTCTTCCTCCTCTTCCTCTTCCTCCTCCTCTCTGCCTCCCAGGATCTGGTGAGCCTGAAGATCCCCGAGCAGTTCCGGCATGCCATTTGGAAGGGCCTCCTGGACCACCGACAGCTTCACGACTTCTCCTCTCCGCCCCACCTCCTCCGCACACCCAGCGGGGCCTCCACGGTCAGCGTGGGCTCCGGCGAGACCCGCGGGGAGCGCGTCATCGACGCCGTGCGCTTCACGCTCCGCCAGACCATCTCCTTCCCGCCCCGTGATGAGTGGAGTGACTTCAACTTTGACCTGGACGCCCGCCGGAACAAGCAGCAGCGCATCAAGGAGGAAGGCGAGTGAAGCATCGGGGGCGGCATGCCCTCCGCCCGCCCACCTCGCCATCCACCCAGCTGGACGGTGCGCCTGTTTCGCTCCCTGTGGACGGTGCCAGGGGTGTGGTAAGGGCGGGGGGGGCTCCCCCGACAGGTGCCAGCCGCTCCTCTTGTCCTCTTCCTTTCCGGGTTTCATGCTTCTCACTTGAAGCGCACCCGTTTTGTATTCCCTCGTGAGTCTCCACCGTGTTTTTTTGTAAGTGAGGGGGTGGCCCTTCAATAAGGACCAAGAAGCATCAAGAGAAGGGTAAAAAACTGTGGTTTTCCACAGTGGTGGTACTTAATGCGCCTGTTAAGACAAACCGACTTCCATGTGCCTTCAGCTCAAGCCGGGTGGAAAGCGTTGGCCTCCGGCATTTGGCTTCTTGTCTGTTTTATTTTATCTTTTTTCAGTGCACCATTTGCAGGCTGTGGGTGAATTCCTTTCTGGTTTGTAATGCACACCTTCAGATGCCTTTTGGAGCACCTGCCAGGAGCTATGCAAAGTTCAAAGGCCTTAGGCCACCTGCTTTCTACCTGTGCGTTTCAGAGTTACAAAACTGAGCGATAAACCTGAAAAGCCCACAACAACCATGAGTGATGAGAGTTCGCCCGACGAAGGCTGGAAGGGGCGCGAGGCGGGCTTTGGATTTCATCGTGCGCTGCCTCCAGAGACTTTCCTGGTGTCACCAGTGCAGCCAGGAGGAGAAAGACGGCCCCTGTCCCAGGCCACTTTTGGGCTTACGGTGTAGGTGATGTGTGGGTATGACATTTGAAGCCGTTATGTGTCACCTCATTCATGCAATAAGGTCCTGAATAACATTTGCTTGCCTCTCTTCCTCCCCCCCCCCTTCTTGCTTTGCAACAAAAGCTTGCTTTTCATTTTCTACCTTTCTATGGGCAGAAAAGAATTGCCAGAGGGTTAAGTGTCAAAGAGTCCAGCTCACAACGGTGTGACTTAAAGCCCCATTTGCCTGGTCTGTCTCGACTAATCCCGATCGCACCCTAGGTGTAGGAGCTTATGGTGACAGGGCTGCTCAAGGGGTCTCTCCGAGGGAAAGGACATGGATCAAATTCTTTCGGAAACCACTCTTCTCCACACCACCGTGCCTTTGCACCAAAGGGTAGAGAAACAGTGGCTTTCCCGAGGTGGCTTCCAGCAACTCCCATCAGCTGTAGCTACCAGGGCCGGGGCGGGGGGGGGAGGCGTCCCAGGATCTCCCCTCCAGCAGCATCTCTCCCTTGTTCTGCAGACGGCCTTTTGCTGTACATATCATGTCTCTTTGCGCCCTCCTCCTTCCACTTGCGGTCCTCTTTGGGCCGCCCTCCTGATGGGGATAGGATTGGGGAGCCCCTGCAGAAGAAGAAACGGGGAGGAAGAGGAGTCCCTGCACCAGGTTGGCATGTGCATTTGTTCTTTTGGAGAAACGACTGATCCTGTGAAAGTCAGGGAAGAGGAAGGAAGGCTTCCTCAACTCTGTGAAATTCCAAGCGTGTCTGGTGCGTGTGTCTCTCTGACGCTCTTGCTTTCGTTCCCTTCCACCATCCATCCACTGCGTCTCTAACTTCTGCCTTAGCTGTCTGTTTCCTTTGCACATCCCATAGCTACAAAATCTCTCCCGCAGGGAATGTTATTGACTAGCACAACTATTAGTAACTAGCACAACTGACTGTAATTTACGTCGATCCTCTCTGTTCATGTTTCACACTGTTATTATCGGACACAACTGATTTTAATTTACGTCGATCCCATCTGTCCGTGTTTCGCACTGGTCAATACGTCTGACAGCGACTGAACCAACGTGGTACAGTTTTTTTTTTCTTTGTAAAGTTTGTAAGTGTAGATTTGTGCTGTATGTATTTTTGGTCGTTTTTTGTTCTTCGCCTGGACCAGCCATTTATTGAGCTCTGTTTTGTTTTGTTTTTTTAATTGTTATTATTTCTCCTGGGGGTATTGGGCCTTTCAAGAACCACATTTTTGTCCGCGTTTTTAATTTTTTTAGAAAAAAAACCAAACCACCACCTGTTTTTGAGGAAGAAGCTACACCACTAAAATAATCACGTATCTACGCTAAGCAGAAGGCACGCACGACATGTCTGTATGTTGTCTCCCAGGGAGTGGAGTGGAAAGGGTGTGTGAGAGAAAGATAGCGCAGGTTGACTACAAGAGTCCTAGATTTCAAACGAAGTTCATGTGCTGAATTCAAATGATACACATATCTTGTAAGAAGTATTAATTTGATGGAAAACGCTCTGTTGTCAATGCCAGTGTAAATAAAACCACATTACGAAAACCACGTAGCATGATTTTAATGTTGTGAGATGTTCGCATTGATTTTGGGAAGGGCTGACCAAAGGATGTTGGCTAAAGTCTTCTCTCTTGTGGTTCAAGGCTATCTCTGAGCATGGCGAGATTTCTTCAGGGAGAAATCTTCAAAGCCCTGCCAGATTTCCCACCTCCAGCGCGAGAGTGAGACAAAGCGCTCTTTTTTTTCCTCTCCAGCAAACTCTCTGCAATTGGCCCACAATGTGTGTGCAAATCATGTGTTTTTCCCCTCCAGCAGCAAAATCCACACACAAACAAGTGCGGAGAACAAGGACAGAAGAACGGGTTGGAAAAAAAAAGAGGCAGCCAACTGCCGGATCTTCTAATTCTTAAGTCCATGAAACAAAGCAGCAGGCGTGGTCATGTTGTGTGTGATGTCTACACAACTCATTCTTATAAATGCAGAAACTCCTCAGGGCTGACAGAAGGTGCCTCATCCCCTCACCGGGACAGGCGAAAACTGGTCCCTTGCACGTGAGGTTGAAGTGAGCAAAGATTTATGTGGTTAGGTGGAAGAGTCGAAGGAGGGAGGGGTATGGGTGGTGGGGAAAACATATTGCCTCTCCCCACATGGCTTGGGAGCTGGAGGGGGGGAAGGGAGTCTTCTCAGAGTCCCACCAAGATGTCCGCAAAATATTCTAGGGAAAGGCACCGACTGCTTCCCAGAGCACAGCCTTTTTTTGGGGTGGGGGGGTTGCCCAGAGACACAGTTTTATTCCAGTTTCCAGGAACAAAACTTGCATACTCTATGGGTGAAAAGATGTGGCCCAAAGGGAGAGAATCCCCTAACTGGCATGCAAGGGGAGGGGAAGAATTCCCCCCCCCCTCCCGGAAGCTTTCCTCCATTGTAGAACTAGGTCAGGTACTGCAAATGAGCAACAACAGAATGAAGAGAGGACAAGCCAGTTGGCTTGTGTGTGGGTTTATTTTCCTCCGAAAAAATGCTAATCAAATTAAAAGGAGGCGCAAAATGGCCCGGCTCTCTGTCTTAAAGTCGAGGACAACCACATGTGCCCAGTTCTGTATGGAACCAGAGCAACTTTGCCCGGTTCCCATGTCCGTATGATAAGAGAAGTGCCTGCCGGGATCATCTGGGCCAGAATCCTGTTTCTGCTTACGAAGTGGGTGGTGCTCCCAAAGGAAGCCAGCCATCAGAGACGGGCATTTATCCTGCGGATTGAGCCACTCCTAGAGCAAACCAGCCCATTGCACAGGGCGTTCCTACCTTCACTTTTTCTGGGTCCCTATCAGGAGCGACTGGCGCTTTTTTTGGTGCTGGTTGGATTGCTACATTTTGGGTTGTTTCCAGCACATGTGCGATCACCGGGATCAAACCAAAGTTGAACTTTCAGCTTTAAATTTCTCTTCCTCTTTCAGTTTCCCAAGGTCATTTAGTGTCTTAAAAAGACCGATTTGCCACAACATGATGTTGGGAAGTTAATTGTTTCTTCTGGGTGGGAGTAGAGGAAAGAAACATTTTTAAAAAGTCTGTTATGGCAGCACTGATGGGTTAGACCACTTACAATTTTTTTTATAAGATTGAAAATTTCCTCCCAGCAGAAGGAAGAGAAAGGGGACTTAGTTTTGTTATTGCTTTTTTCATAAGGGAGGCAGACAAACTAGGGTTGCTTGAGATGTGTCCGCCATTTGGAGGCAAGAATCACACCCAATGGCAAACTGGGCCTCTACCAAACCTTAAACAACACTATTTAGCTAACTCCAGTTTAAGCTCATGGGGACAGTGAATTAGTTCTCCTGTTGTGGAGCCAGAGATTGGGCGTTTGATTCCCCACGGTGCCTTCTACCATGTTTCCCCGAAAATAGGACAGGGTCTTATATTAATTTTTGCTCCAAAAATGCATTAAGGCTTTTTTTCAGGGGATTTTTTTTCATGTACAACAATCTATTTATTCAGATGCAGTCATGTCATCTTCTGGTTGCTGCACAAGGGTGGAGGGCGGGGCTTCACTGAACTGGGGCTTATTTTTGGGGTAGGGCTTATATATTATGAGCATCCTGAAAAATCCTACTAGGTCTTATTTCCAGGGAAACGGGGTAGGAGAAGAGCCAGCCTGTGTAGCCTTGGGCAAGCTGCACAGGAGTCCCGGGGCTCCCTCCCAGAAGAAGGGAAGGGGAAAACATTTCTGATTATTCGCTACCTAGAAAACCCTGGAAAAATGGTTGCCATGAGTCAGAATTGACAAAAAAAAAGACAAGCCCTAAGAGAAGAAAGCAGGTGTTCTCCAGTAACTGGTTTTCAGATGATTCTCTTCTCTTTCCACAAGCAACTCTTTAAAAGTTTTCCTGACCACCCAAAGCGGAGGGGTGTGTCATGTTCTTCTCCCCGACCCCGGCCCATCTATGGACAGTCAGAGCAGGGAGAAGGATTGCCCTGATTGACAGCCGCCACTTGGGAAAAACCCATAAACCCCCGTCCTGAGCATAAAAGTTCGGGAAAACACCCGTTGCGGCTCCTGCAGGAAAGAAGGAAGGTGTTGGCTGTCCTTTGTTTCCTCATCTGCTTAAGGCTTCTTCGCTGAAATGTTTTCCCAGCTGACTCTCCTCCTCCTCCTCGATGCGCAGCGTGTCTATGCCCTTGGCGTTGGATGAGCTCGCCTTTTCCCAGGGTGCCTTGCATTCCGTGGCTGACTAACTCGGCTGAAGCCTTGGCACTCCTTTTTCCTGCAAGTCTTGCCCTTTCTTGGGGGGGGGGAGAACTGGGTCATGGAGCTCTCTTGTCTCAAAACCGGGCACCCCCTGTAAGCTCCTGGTTGGGCTTGGACCTCGTCCTCTGAGCAGGTCAGCCAGCTCTCCACGAGGCCAAAGGCACTGCTGAAATTAGGGGAGCGACAGAATGACCAGGAAAAAGAACTAGATTGAGGGACCCAAGGGTGCCTTGAGTGTGATCTTCGTGCTTTAAGAGCTCCTGGAAAAAGTTTTGCTTGGCTGGCAACGCCCAAGGTGTGGCGTGCCTTCGCTGGCATGCCTGCGATTTGGCTTTCGGGTGCCTGTTTCAGAAGAGTGTGCCACATGGCAACTTCACAAACACAATAAGGCTCGGGTAAACAAGGTCGCTGTATTCCTGGCGAGGACGTTAGCCTCGTGTTCATTCACAGGGATCCACGAAGGGCGGGATTTCATCCAATGGTTAGCCAAGAGAGAAATCTTGTGCCTCTCCATCCCAAGAACTCGGGAGAGTTCCTAAGGGAAGGCCCGCCAAAGGGAGAGCAAACTTGCGGATGAAGGAAGATGCTGAAATGGTCTCAAGAAGAATTGGCATTTTAGGAAGATGGGTGGCATGCAGGGAAAGGCAGAGCCGTGACGGGACTGTTCAAGGATTCAGATGGCTTATTCAATGAACGCACGTAGTGACACATGCCCCTGACTCCCAAAATGTGTTTACTGAAAATCCAAGTTAGCCATACGGGTCAAAGTCTTGTCCATGCAACTGGAAAGCAGGTTGGTAAGCGGAGTTGCAGATTCCGCAGAGCTATGGTGGGCAAAATGCAGCCCTCCAGATGTTGGAACCAGCATAACCAGATAGATATGTGAATAACATCAAGGTAAGTTTGTCTAAGGGACGTGGTGGCGCTGCAGGCTAAACCGCAGAAACCTTTGTGTGCTGCAGGGTCAGAAGACCAGCAGCTGTAAGATCGAATCCACGCGACGGAGTGAGCTCCTCTCGCTTTGTCCCAGCTCCTCGCCAACCTAGCAGTTCGAAAGCATGTAAATGCGAGTAGATAAATAGATATAACCTCGGTGGGAAGGTAAACAGCATTCCATGTATAGCCGTGCTGGCCACGTGACAACGGAAACTGTCTTCGGACAAATGCTGGCTCTACGGCTTGGAAACGGGGATGAGCACCGCCCCCTAGAGTCAAACAGGACTAAAATGTCAAAGGGAACCTTTACCTTTACCTTTACCTTTACCTAAGTTTGTCTCACTCCACATGTTGCAAATTAGCTTCTGCTTTGTCATTGGCCCTTAGGAGGTAATCACAAATTTCATTTGCAGCTCTGATTGCTTAGGTATGGAATGCTGAAAGACCTGCATGCCTGGAGGGAAAACATTTTAGTATATATGTCTCTTACCTTATGATTTGGTCTTTTCCTTTCTAAAGCCACAATACAGTGGTAAAACAGTGACCAATCCATGCCTGACAGACAGTAGATTTAAGAATTCATACACATTCAGAAGACCAAACACAGCATGAGGTTGTTGTTTGGATTGAGGGTGGCTCTCCCAAGTCACAACTGTGCAGCTGAGGAGGAACAGTGTGGAGCCAGGAGGTCACTGGGAGTGAACCTTTGCTCCCCCCCCCAAGTGTTGTTGCACACTCAGCAGTTCCTGGGGTCAACTGATAAAAGGAGGGTGCTGGCATCAGCTCTGGCTAGTGTGGCTTCTCCCACACTCCACAATTCCTTCTCTCCTAGAATAAGAGCAAGTGGTGGTGGCTCAGATGTGAAGGGGGTTTGTCTGAGAGAACAGCAGGTTGTTTCCTTCTGTAAAGCATGCTGTTTGAATTCATTGCATCTCTCAAATGCTAGCTACGTGACATAGTGTAATGCAGCCTAATGAATGCGGGGTGTCTGAAAAAACAACAGTGGAAGCCATCTATGCTGGGAAGATGCACGCATGCCCACACACAGATTTACAATCCAAACGTTCATTCCTTAGTCAGCTCCAAATCAGCACACTTGTGACTAAAATATTGATAATCAGAATGTCATCCAGCAGAAGCATTATGCCCATGGCTTGTTGTTGTTTAGTCATTTAGTCGTGTCCGACTCTTCATCCGTGGCTATCTGGCTAATATTAATAAATGCTGGTTTTGTTTAAAAAAAAAACCCAAAAACTTGTCTGTTGCAAAATTTCTGCCAGCCCTGCAACCAAATTTGCATTCATTAGAAGGATACATAGAATCCATCATTTAATTGCAAGACACCTCTTAGCATTTATTGTT